AGATTGTTGGCTCGATTAAGAGTTAATTAATACATGTTGGCTAATAGACCTCCATTTCCTTCACTCTCTTGTGCAATGCCTAAGTGTTTCTTACAAGAAAGCAGTTTCAAAGACTAGGTTTTGAAAATATAATATTCACAACATAAATTTATTTTCCATATACCACTCTAAAGAAAATAAACGTTAAACTAAAAAACAACAATGTAAGGGGAGATTCCTACAAGTGTAAACATAGTCAGTGTCGAGTAATCAAGTGATTTTAAATTTTTCTTCTTCATATAATTTTTTTGATAGCTATGTTTACTTGATTTGCTAGATTACATTGATTCTGCTTCACATTTTCGCCTGTCATGGGACTAACATTTCCGGCTAGCATACCATAAAGTTCAAATGCCATCTAATAGAAACGGATGCCAAAAAATATTGCAATGGTCAGTTAGGATAAAAATTTGTTTCACAGGGCCGTTAATTTAGGGCAATGTCCAAACTCAGAATTAAAGAAAGAAAGTCCATTACCAAGGAAAGCAGAGCATAATAATACTTCTTATAGAAGCATTATCATTAAAATTGGAGGTTGAAAGTTGAAGAAAGACCCTACATAATAACTGGATCAAAACATATCATACACAACAAAAAAAGCCTTAGGTTTTAAAACATATTCTATAGCAGTGTTGGCTAGACCTAGGCTTGTCCCACTTGTGCAACTTCGGACAACACAATAAATCAATCTTGCGGGCATCTAATCAATCCCCAAATCCTAACTATGTGGAGGATATCGTTTTTATATTGCGTAATCAGTTTTTATTAACCAATGAATTCTGAAAACTACTATCTTACAAAATACTGTAGTCTAATCTCACCTTTTCTCCTTTTAAAGTTATCATTAATTTCATTTTCCCTACATATTGTGTAATCTGGTTGTTATCGTTTATGATAAATATCCTTGCAAACCTATGAGATTACGATGCAGGATCACTGCTCACCGATTAAGGGTGAGGAAACTTCAGTATATAGTTCAATTGGAGAGGACTGTCCAATTTCTACAGATAAAGGATATATTGAAGAATTACACACATTAATCTACAATCTAAAAGTCGCACATATATCAAGCAGGCTACCCCCAAATCAAGCATAACAATCGATCACTAGTACAATAATTTCTATATTTCAGGGAAATGAATAAATCAGTAAACTACCTACCTTTCGAGTGTGGTGAGAAATTGATGCCAATCAGCAGATGGAAGCCTACGGGGGAGAGACGACGCATATACTGCCCACCCTCTGAACTGGCTTTCCTTGTAAAGACCACTATTGGAAGAGACGCAGCTTAACAGAGCAGCGCTGCCTACGGAAAAGCGAAGGATTGGTGTTGGCGATATAAGGGATTGGTGTTGACGATTAGAGATGAGGGAGGGAGTGCGAGAGGGATTGCAGACAATGGAAATTTGATCGCGAGAGAGATGATGGATTTTAAGGCTCACGATTGTTGAGAGGGAGTGAGAGAGGTGTTATAGTGATCGATTTCCCCTTTTTTTACTCCAAACGGGTTGGTTAATCGAAACGGGTCGGTTGGCGGGTTATGGATTGTTTTTGTGGGTTGCTGGGTTGGAATTGAAATGGCCCCCTTTCGCAACGTTTGTTGAGTGTTGCAAAAAGTCTAACTTTTCGTAACGTTTGTTCAAACGTTACGAAAAGTGAGACTTTTCGGAACACTCAACAAACGTTGTGAAAGGGGTCTATTGCAACATTTTTCTGAAAATCGTTGCTAAAACTCATTCATACTAATCAATGGCAACATTCATTTCCTAAAATGTTGTCAAAAGATCCTTTTAGCAATATTTATCAACAAATGTTGCCTTTTTAATGTTGCGAATGACTCTTATTGTTGTAGTGTCAATCAATTCTTGATTCTATTACTCTTTCGAGTATTTAACCTAAGATGAACAGAATTAAACCACTCAGTACAGATCCGTTCGGTTCGAGAGTTAATTAAATCCTAAAATTTTCTTAATTTTAAATTTTATTTAAAATAATTAATTGTACGCATTCCAAATTAGAGCTAGTTTTATTTTGAATAGATAAGTAGATAAGCAGACCTAATAGGATCTATTCATCATCTTATTACTTCTATACGATGTCGTTCACTTGCAAAATAATTTTGATATTGGGAATTTTTTAATTTTTAATTATCGTAAAATCAGTTTTTGAAAATGCTCAAATGGAGAAAAATCTTCAACCGCGGACTGATGCTGATGCTATGCAAACTAGAAAGGTTTAAGATCTAACCATCAAGAACTAAAGGTTGTGGTTCCAAGTAATACGTTACCATAATTTGGGGACCTCTGCTACAATTGTTTTTCCAGTTCATTAATAATTGAACATACTCTCACTAGTGCATCCAATATTGTGAAAGGGCAACTTGTCTTTTGGCACCAAACGATGAGTTAAAACATGCGATTACTTCGAAACATGATTTGATTTTTCAAACAAGAGTTTATTCCATTCCGAACAAGCGCTAAAGAAGTGACCCATAATCATGCACCAAGAGATGTATATCTAATTAGGAGAGCCTTGACCCCCGGGGCATAGCTCAATGGTGCAAAGGACAGGAGTGAGCGGCTGTGTGAAGATTCGATTACTGTCTCTTATAAGGTATGAAATTAGACTCTTTGTGGGTATCAGTATGACAACTCTTGTATCATGACCTGATAAGACACATCCTACGATTTACCTCCTCCACAATGCTCTAGGGGCGGTTTCAACCTTTTTTAATTAGGAGAGCCTTATCATGAGAAGTTGAAATTTATACAGGTTGCAGTAAATATATGACAATGTCGGGAGGCTTTTGCATCCTGACGTTGGTCTGGTTAAAGAAGCCAGACTGCAAGAGCATCTTGTTTTGTGAGGAACTAACACATCCAGAGACATCCACAGACTAAAAGTCCTATGATATGCTGCCAAAAACAGAAAGGAAAACACAGAAAAGTATATATAAATTATTCAATCCAATGAAAAACTTATATATAATGTGCTTAGCAACGCAGGTATTACGTTATCACAACTGAATAACATACTTCCCAAAAAAATTAGAAAATGAAAACTGAAATCCATACAACCAGTGGAATCCAATAGCTAAAGACTTTATGATGTGCTTCCAAAGTTAACCAGAAATTTATTTGTGTTAAAATATATATATATATAAAATAGTTTGAGTCCAAATCTCATTGGCATCTAATCATAAATATTCCAAGTTAGATGGAACTTAATTATAATGTAATAATAAGGATTTATTGGGAATTTTTATCCTTTCAACATTTCCTCCCTTTTTTTGTATAAAAGATTAGAGACGAATTCAGGACAGGATTACAAGTCGGACTAATATGTAAAAAAAATAAAATTACACAAGAAATTTTTTTTTACATAAAAAAAAAAAA